TGAGTTTTGTTTCTAGGGCCTGGAACTTGGAGCAGAGGGCTGCTGAACAAACTTGCAAAGGATCAGGCTGGAATGAGGCCTTCTGGCCAAGGAGCAGAGCAAGGCACTAGAGGAGAAAAATGGGTCGGGAGTTCCTGTTCCATGTAAGGAGAGGATGGTACTAGTAACAAAACAGCATCAAAAGCCCCACGGCATTCTCTACTCACAAAACCGAGTTGGTTTTTCAGCCTCTGGATTCCTGGCAAAGCAGCACGAACTGGGGAAGGGCTAGGGCAGATTTTCATGACCTTCCCCATCAGAATCCCTCCCCCTTCCCGTCTCGCCTTCTTGAGGCACCTGCAGAGTTTTGGGTTACAATTTTGCGCCAGCGGCCTTATCCTGCCAGCCCAAATCTAACCCCTGGTGCCACAGAATCAGCAGAATCTAAAACCTCGCCTGTTTTAGAAATAGGAACCATTACAAATCTGTCTTTAGAGGGGGGAGAGAGAGAAAAGGAAAGTTCCTTCTCTCTCTTCTCCTTGCAAGAGAGGAAGGAACTGAGCCAGATTCTTCTTTTCTCCCTCCTTGAAAACTTTGCCCTGCGTTCAAGGTTGTCCTTCAAGGCCAAATGACAAGCACACTTTCTATTTTGCTTGCTGGATTTCTTTTTGTCATTTTGGGAGCCCGGGCGGCTAAAAAAAATCAGACTATGCGCCCCGAAGGCAAGCTTGATATTCAGAAGCAGCTTCGTACCTTAGCCAAAACCAAAGCTGGACACCGTTTCTCTGCAGACACACTTGGCTCTTTCTTTCTTTGCACGATACTAGACTCACGCTTTCTGGAAGGGGAGAGGAAACCTTTGCATATTTACTATGTCTTTATGCAAAGTGAATCTTTGCAAAGGCTGAGCTTAATGCAGAGCAGAGGTTCATTTCTCTGCTTGCTCATCCTGGGGCGGGGAGGGTGGTGGTGGAAGAAACAGAAAAACCCAGCGCAAGCAGCAACCACTAAGCAAAGCCAGTGCAATTTTGGAAAAGTGTAAACTTATGAAGGAGGAAGGGAGATACAGGGAGGGAGAAAACCCTACTATCTTTATAGGAGACAATCATTTTCTGATAGGCCAATGGCAGGCAGTTTACCCATTGATTACATATTAACCTGTCTGGAGAAGGCTGAAAGGGAGCTATGCCTGAATTATTGGAAGGTCAAGTTCTAAAGGACATAACTATTACCAAGCAGGAAGAATATAGTCCTCTGTAGATGCACGGACCCCTTTCTTGCTTCCAATCTCATCAGCGTGGAGTAGAGCTAAAAGAGGACTAGCTACTGGATTAATATTTATTTTTCAGCTGGATTGACTGCAGCTAAGTTTCCTGTGCAAGCAAGAGCTAAAGCCAAAGCAAAAAATAATGAGAAATGAGATGCATTTGCCCCCCCTCTACTTTTGTACAAGACACGGGGTGTTGCTTTGTTTCAAAGCCTAATGACCTTTGACCTTGCGGCTTTGACAGCCTTAAGAACAGCATCTTGGAATCTCTAGAAATTGAGCTGTAAATTTAAAACAAGGTCTGTTTTTTTAAACCTACCTGCTTTTCACTAGTAGGATGCTAAAGACCTAAAACTATACTCTTAGAAGAAATTTGTTTCTCTCTTTCTTTCTCTCCTCTTTCTCTTCTTCCCCTGTCCTGCTTTCTTTGGAAGGGATCTAGATAGGGAATTTACTTCTCTCCCTGCATAAAATGGTATTATAGTTAAGTTATAGGAATGTTGCTGCTTTAACCATTTCATAGATTAAAACAAAATTACAAAAACAAAGGAAAGAGACAGAGTTCCAATCTTCTCCTTGAAAACAAGATTTTGTATTTTTTTAAAAAAAATATTATATACATGTGCTACTTTATTTTATTTTTTAAAAATCTTCCTCTGAGAAAAAAAAATAGATGGGACAAAATCTGGCTAGCAGAATGTCCCATACATAAATGAGAATACTTTTGTAAAATTATTATTATTTTGTTTTAAAAAATGGAACTGAAACAACTAAAGCTAAAATTAAGAAAGGTCAGCCTATATGGAATTTTTGACTTTTAAATAGCCACCTTCACAGGCCTTACCTTGCTGCAAGTTAGAGATTTTAGGGAAGAGGAAAGAATAGCAACCTGTTTCAAAGGGGGCTTGTGTATGTGTATGTGTATGTGTTTGCGTGTGTAATTATGCACAATAGGGAAATTGTGATTCTCTCTTCACAAATTTGAGAGTCACCAAATTTGTTTCATGACTTCTTTGAATACTAGTTTCAGCTTTAATCATCTGTCCCTGTAGCTTCAATCTAAAAGAAATCAATTATAGTAGTAACTCTTACAATATGCCCACATATTTGACATAATGTCCCTGGCTGCAAAGTTCTTTATTTCCCCCCCAAAAGCAGCTGAACTATTTTGGGGGAGTGAGGGGGGCTTGTTTTGTTTGAATGGCTCTTTTTAATTGTTGTTGTTATTATTATTGCAATAATAACTAGCAAGAAATTCATATGATCGCTTTAAAATAATTATAAAACTTGTTATAAGTTAAAGAGTCTTTCCTTTTCATCTGCCTAGGAGAAAATGAAATGGTATTTTTGTTTTAGATCGGTTATATTTTACCTTGTCAATTCTCAGCTCTCTCACACACATATTTAAATTATCTGCTCAGATTAATTTATCTAAACATCTGTCCACCACCCCCAGATACTATGTTTAAATAGATACTTCAAAGCTATAAACTAATGAAACTCAGTACAGAATCAAAAATGCAGTTTATTATAGTAGAATATTCCTCCTTTTTGATATAACCATAGAGTTGAAAAATGAAAGGAAAACACATAAGGAACATCACACGTGATTAGTTGGTAACTTAAGATATAAAACAATTTTGCACAGCAAAATATGTCAAGAGGAAAAATAACTGACAAGATTTTTTTATATTTATTGTGGTATTTACTTTCCATTTTTTTAAAAGACAGGAGTATCAGTCCCTGACAATAAAATTTGCTGATTAATGCCTTTAAAACTTTGTGAATTTGTGAAGTTACAGAAAATCCAGTTCTGCACCACAATACAACTGTAAAAAAATCTGCATTATTTAAAAAATTGAGCAGTAATGCCATCTTTGTAAATGGTATTAGCATCCTAGACAAGTTTGCAATGGTTTATATTTTGCTTCAGGTTATATCTTAGTGCAATTCAGTCCCTAATATTTAAATCCACCCCCCAAAAAACCCCAATGTTACATTTTGAACACAAAATAACCCTATTCATATAAACAGGGATACTCCCCTTTTAATACTTTGGTTTCCAAATACAGTTGGTGGCATAGCAAGATCTACACATACCCAACTTATAGTTAAGTTGCAATCACATGCTGCATAAGCTACTTTTTTAAAAAAAGTCCCACTTTATATTCTACTCCTTTTAACATCACAACAGTGAACAATTTAGTGCACCATTTAAAAAAAGAGAGACCTACTTCTAAACAGACCTAACTTTTTTCAAATTATCTATAACATTCCTTTATCTGTTGCGTACATTTGAACTGAACTAACAGACAATAAAAGCTTGAATTAAATTATATATACCAGGATCCCATAGCATTGCACGTTTGACAATGACCAAATGCAAAAAGGAACAAAAAAAAGGGTGGGGGAGGAAAGAGGGTAGATCATTCCAAAATAAAGTTTAGACTGCTTTAAGCAACAATATCATGTAAAATCCAACAAATTGCAGCAATTTTTTTAAGCATAAGTTTTAAAACTTCTTTCCAAAGTTCTTGTTTTCCTGTAATACTGTAATCACAATCCACTCTTCTGTTTTTGTTTTACATATGAGAGAGCGAGAAGAGATGTTTTTTTTTGCAATTCATTAAAAAGAAGTCTGAAGTTTGAGAGATGGGGCCACTCAAAGCAGTTTCCAAGATGCAAACTTGAATGGGTAAGGAAGACTCAAAAAAAGTTGCACTTTTTTTGCTTTCAGTTCAAAAAAGTGGTGAAGAAATACAACTTAAAAGAATGAATGACATGCCATTATATATATCTCCAAAGTCCATATCCAAGCAAAAGGGAAAAAAAATCCGTACATGTCCAGCATGCAGGGCATTTATCAATATAATGTCTTTTTTCCTCTCTCCCCCATAGTCTTTTGAAATATTTATACAGTTAATTGATGCAAGACAAACTAGTAAGCGTAATAATGCATGAGATGAGGATGGGTTACTAAAAGCAGACTCAGTTCACTGGCAGCTTAAGGCCAAAGATCACATCATGAACACATGAGAAGTTGATCAAGGCTCCATTTGGGCAGGTAGATTTAGTGAATGAACTAGGTTTAGTTCAACTACAGATGAAAATTTGGCCATCTGAAGTCTAACACTTTCTTTAAATAGTTCAGTAAAAGGTCCTTGAAATATGCCTGCATTCACGGGTATATGAATACAGCCATATCAATATGCACCTAGCTATTTCTGAAGTTCATACCCCACAGGAAGAATTCGGGGTGCAAAATGGGTGTTTTGTATTTTGGATAGAACAGATTAAAAAAAAAAACTGAGCAAACTTCAGATGAGTTGATGGAAGTTGGATTGCAGACACACAGACACACACACAAACGCGGCTGGAAAGGGAGAGAAAGGTCAGGACCTTGTAAGGTTGACCATGATCTGAGTCAGTCCACTTTAAAAAGTACCACCCAAAGTTGCCACTATTCTTTTAAACAGAATAGGATGATAATGATGGTATGTACATAGCAGGCAGTATTTGGATGGCCCGAGTTAACAATAATTAACAGGGAGGGGGGACACCAACTGGCTGACCTCCCCCCCTCCTTCCTCCAGCCTTAGGAACTTTTACGCACGTGTTCGCTCGCTCGTGTGTGTCTGCGTGTGTGCTCTGACGAGTGGGCGAGAGGCTGTCGGAGCGAAGGGGGTTCGCGGGCCGGGTCTATGGGTTGTTGGATAGGTGGGTGGGGTGGGTGGGAGAGAAGACCACAACTCACATGAAAAATTCTGGAGAAGAGGGATTGTCGCTGCTGGATCCGTTTTCCCGGAACCCGCTGCTGACCAATTTCTCGTATTTTTCCTTGTAGGCGTCCCTCTCCCGGACCAGCCTGGAGATTTCCTGCTTCAGATGTTCCACTTGTTGGAGCAACTGGTTCTTCTCCGATTCCAAGACGTGCCGTTGCTGGACCCGCTTGAAGCGGCAGGACTGCGCGTAGCCCCGGTTTTTCAGGGTCCGTCGTTTCTGTTTCAGCCGGATCACCTCTTCCTTGCTGACGCCCCGCAGCTGCCGGTTGAGTTCTCGCACCGACATGGTCACCAGCTGCTCGTCCGAGAAGCGGTCGTCGAAATGCAAGCCGCCGCCGCCGCCGTTGCCACCGTGGTGCTGGTGGTGGAGGCCCCCGCCGCCTCCCCCGCTGCCGCCGCTGCTGCTGCTGCTGCTAGTGCTGCTGGCCGAAGACGGCACGCTGCCCGGCGGCTGCGGCTGCGGATGATGGTGGTGGTGGTGGCCGGGCGGGTGATGGTGATGGTGGTGGTGATAATGGGGCGCGCCGCCGTTCTGCTGCTGCTGCTGCTGCGCCGCGGCGGCCGCGATCACCGCCGACACCACGGCGGCCGCCGAGCCGATCTCGTCCGGCGGCATGGATCCCCCCGACCCGCCGCCTCCTCCGCCTCCTCCGCCGCCTCCTCCTCCGCCGCCGCCCACGGACAGCTGCTGCCCTCTGGCATAGCCTTCGAAGCCGGCCGCGGCCGCCGCGTTCTGGAGCTGGTGGTGGCTGTTGTTGATCAGCGCTTCCACGGCGTCTTCCGGGCTGAAGCCCAGGGCCTCCGGGTTGAGCTGCTGCGGGTAGCCGGTCATCCAGTAGTAGTCTTCCAAGTGGGTCTTTTGGTCGCTGCCGCCGGAGCCCGGGCTGGGGGCCGAGAAGCTGGGCGAGGGAGGCACCGAGCTGCACGGCGTGCTCATCGGGGTGGACGAGAGCGATCCCCCAGCGATCAAGCGGCCGCACTGGCTGATGATGCGGTCCGTCTCCACCGGCTCCTTTTTCACTTCAAACTTCATCAGATCGAAGTCATTAACATATTCCATGGCCAAGGGACTAGTGGGCAGGTCGGCGCTGTGCAGGGCCAGGTCCGATGCCATCCTTTTGCCACCGCCGCCGCCAACACCGCCGCCGCCACCGCCGCCCGTCCTCCAGAAAGGGTGCGCTCCCGGAGCCAGGGGGCTGCTCTGACTTGCCAGCGGATGAGCCAGTTTGCTGGTCGGCTCGCAGAAGCCTCGGGAAGCTGCTGTCCGGCTCCCTCGCCGCCTCCTCCTCCTCCGCTCGCTCGCTCGCTCTGCCGGCGCCTGGGCGAGCCGGGATCAGCCAGCAGCAGCAGCAGCAGCAGCGCCTCGCACCCCGGGCTCGGAGGCTCCCCTGACAAAGAGCCCGCTCGGCTGCAGCCGGCAACCCGTGAGCGGCCGTGCCTGGCTGCCTCCTCGCTCGTGCTATTTGCTCGCCTTTTGCATCCGGCCGCCTGGGTTTCTTTCGTTTTTCTTTCTCTCTTCTCCCCCTCCTCCCCTCTCTCTCACTCTCTCTTCCCTCCCCTTTCTCCGCTGCGCGCTCGTGGCTCGCTCTCTTCCCTCTCTCTCTTTCTCTCTCTCTCTCTCTGCAGCTTCGCAACCGCAGTTTTATAGGGAAAAAGGTTCCTTAGCAGTTCCTCGTTGGTTTGAAAAGGGTTGTTTGGTTTTCTTGCTGTCTGTCTGTCTTTTTTTTAACACTTCATGGTGTTTCTTCTCCTCTTTTCCTGTCCCCCTTTTCCGTGGCCGGAGTCCAAACGACGAGAAAAAGAGAGTTTCAGCACCAAGGAAAGGAGGGGGAAAAAAAAAGGAACGCGGCTGATGCTTTAAAAAAATAAAAATAAAATAAGAGCAGGTAGGTTCGCTAAATTGCAATTTCTAAAAAGGAGGTGAGGGTTCGGAAAGCGAGAGGATTCAGGCGCTTCCTCCCCAAGTTCCGCAAAGGGGAGAAAGAAAGATAAGTGGGGGGAAAATAATAACCCCTCGACTCCCCAGCTTCAACGGCAAGATGAAAAAATATTTTAAAGAGATGAACCGGGAGGACAGTTTAAAAGCATTGCTGAGTTTTATAGCGTGCCTGACGTCACGCTCCTATCGGGATCAGACTCCAATCTGCGCCCGCCAATCCGGCTCCTCATTAGCATAATAGTATAGAAACAAGGAAACTTTTCAAAGCTGTCAATCAGGGGCCAATCAGCTGACTGTCAGCTGGGACCAAAACTTTTTAACTCTTTCTTAACCGAAAGAGCCTCCTCGGACTCATTAGGAGGAGAAAAAGAGATGGGGGGAAAGGGGGGGGGGAGAAAAGAGGAGACCCCCTAAAAGGCATTAAACCGGCAAAGTACAGTATTAGAACTCTGCAACTCCGCAAAAGAAAATGCGGTACATGATAGGTAAGGGTGCTTCACGCACCGCCTCTCATTTTCCTACCTGCGTTTCGGGGTTTTGTGTTTTTGGAGGCTGGCGTGAATTGGTGTACTCTAACACTCTAGTTTGCAAATTGGTGTACTCTAACCCTCTAGTTTGCAAATGCAGACTGCATTTATTCTAGTGGGTTAACTCCCGGCTCTCCCTTATCCTTCCTTTTTAAGTGTGCAAATCTCTCTCTGTGTGAGAAAGACAGTCAGACAGCACGGGCAAGCAAGTGCACGCAGATCCCCCCCCCCAAGTCTCCGCACTAACGTCCTGGAAATAGATCCCCCCTTGAGCGTATTTTCTTGGTGCAGTGATCCAGAAGTTCCAACCCGCTCGCTAGATATCCCCCCAAAATAGCTCTGCATTTTGTTCAGCTTTCTCTTTCTAGACAAGGAACGGGGAGGGGGTGCTTCAAACGCCCACTTAGCAGTGGTTCCCAACGTGGGGCCCAATTTGATTTTTTAATGAGGGCAATTTGAACCTGGTTTAAATCAAGTTAATGACCTTTTAGGCTTCCTCCACGTGAGTAGAGTTCACTTTTTGAGTGAAGTAAGAATTATATGTCGGGGGGATAAGGATTTTAGAGATGCTTAGGTGGGGCATTGCCAAAAAACATGGTCTAAATGGAGTGAATTCAGAGTCTTTCTCGAGCGCAGCCGCGCTTTCGGCCTTTGCTCGCCTCTGAAGCACCCTCGGAGTTTTCCCGAGTCCAGGTCACGGCGCCTCCGAGTCAAAGTTAGGGTTTTTTTTTAGCCCTGATCTCCCCGCCCGCCTCCGATCGATAGCTCCCTGTGAGAGGTCAGAAAGTTAAGACAAGTGGCTAATTGATGGCCGCGAATATGCTCTTCTTCCTAGAGCCATCGATTAGTTCCTCCCCCCTCTGGTTCGTTTAAAGACGATTCCTAGATTTTAAACATAAGTTTGAGGTGGGTTTTTCTTGGGGTGGGGTGGGTTGTGGGGAGAGGAAAGGGAGAGAATTAAAACCGCGGAGGAAGGGGAGTCTTATGAATTTCTGCAAACTTTTTTGTTTTAATGCAACCGGGGTCTTGTTTGCAGAAGACGGACGAGCTCTTCAATTAATTATTTTAAAACAGTCACGTGCGCTCTTTCTCGCTTCGCGGCGGCGGAGGGGGCGCTTTTTTTTTTAAAGCAAAAATAACCGAGTTAAAACAAAATCCAGTTTACTCGCGTTCCGTTTAAACCTCGACAGCGCCACCTTTCGCCGCAGATCAGTATCGTACTGAACCGCTTCCAATTTTCTAGACAGCGAAAAAAAATCTATACTAGAAACTCGTTTAAGGGGGAGGGAGGGAGTTAAGAGCTTTTAGCGTCGGCACGACAGCCTGACATTAACGCTTTCGCGTCCGAGACGTTTTCATGGCTTTGCCAGAGCGTCTATTTTATTGTTTTGGATCTAATAACAGGATGTGTGTGTTTTATACAACGTTTCTTATCCATATGATTTCTTCACTTAGGATACGGCCTGCATGTGTATTTGCTAGAAAGTGAGAATCAAAAGAGACACTGTTCTTGTTCGTCTGGATACTTTGTGAAGTTGTGTGTAATTGTGATTCTCCTTCTCCCTCTCTCTTAAGATAAGACGAAGGTCTTTAAAACTTTCAGTTTTAATTTCCAACTTTGATTTACAACTGACTTCATGGCAGGACTTAAAGTTACTAGTAGTTTGGTGATAAATGATATATGTCTCTAGTATGCAAGATTAAGTGCAGTGCTATGAAGTTGTTTATCTGAAAAGTAATTCTCAGAATTCTGACTCTTGACACTTAGTCATATATTAAACCAGCCTTCTGAACATTGCACCCCAGTACATTGGCTTCAACTATCCCCCTCCCCCCGCCACTTGAATTTCCTAGTGAAACAGCCTTTGCCTAATTCTAAGGATCTGCATGTAGAGACTCTGCCTCTCCTTAGGAAGAGCTTGCCAAGAGTCTCAAAATCTGAAGTTGGCAAAGAAAAGACATGTGTTTGCCCTGACATCGCTCAGTCTCGACAGCCAGAATTCATATGATTGAGCTGTGTTCACTGGTAACAAGAAACAATTTGAAAGAGGTGGCTGGGCTGTTGGATACATCACAAATTGATTTGGGAAGGAAGCATCTGCTTGCTTACAGGCAATGGGTTCTCAGGACACTTTACCGGAAGCACCTTAAAAAAAGGTGCTTTCCAGAGTACGTTCCAAACATGGAATTTATGAATAGGTGAATGTGATGCACCCAGTTTGATTTACAATCAGAGGGGGGTGTCAACGGGAATTTTCAGTCTAAAGAGTCACTCATGCCTTGTCTTGTGCATTCTCCTTACTCGTATGAACCTAACACAGTAGATTGTTTTGTTTTTAGAACTGCGAGGAGAAATTATAGTTGTGGCATTACTTTCAAATGAGTAGCAGTCATTTTTGGGGATGGACCCTTCGAAATAGATGCTTTGCCATTGAAGTATGCTACATGTACAAAATGAGGAACTTGTTCTCTGTTTTCTCAGCCCAGTTAGCTCTGAAGGATAAAACAGGGAATGCAAAAACCACATCTGGCTAGCACAATCTGTGCTGAGATATAGCAGTGCAATGGAGGGCTATAAACACGACTGAGCTCAAACCTCCAAAGTATTAAGACAAATTACTGGAGGTGCATATTAGTCTTATTAACCTATTACAGATGAGGGAGCTGTCAAATATTGACTGTTATGTAGCAGAAATGGATAGGGGTTTAGAATCAAAAGTCCCCTCCCTCCCTCCCTCTCTCTCCCACCCCCACCCCAAGTACTCTGTTCTTTTCACTATTGGCAGGATTTAATTGCTTGCAATGAGCCTTTCTAGGTAAGGCTGGAATTCTACTGTAGCAACTGCACATTTTCATTAGAGGTATCCAGGCCACCAAAGCACTAACAGTTCAATTCCTTCAGCCTGCTCACCACCAATTTGGGGTTTTGTTTCCATTTACTTGAGATGATTCAATCAACTGTCTTTAATGTGCTCTGTACTTTGCAAGCATTTGGCTTTTTGGAGAACACAAGGCTTTTGAAAGTTTCAGCTCAGAATAGTCTCCAAAATACAGTCTTTCTGTGAATGCAGACATAGACAATTCTGTAAAATAAGCACGATCGGTGGATTCTGTACAGAGAAGCACCCTCTTCTCACACCACTATCAGTGAGAAATTAAAGAAAAAAGCCTCTTAAGTGTGTATTTTCATGTCTTCCGTGGCTGAGTAAACAAGCAGAAGGAAGATTTGCAAAAGGGGCCAGTATAGGTCTTGTGAGTTATATTGACTTTGAGTGTCATTTGCTATGACTTAAACAAACTCATCTATCAAGGCCAACACATTAAGTACAGTTACTGCACCTTTTGTTTATCCAGTGCCTTATTTTATGGTGCAGAACTGAGTGGTGTCCACTGAATTTAAGTATGAAAAGCCACCAAATTGATTTCCCAATGCTGGAGTGACAAAAGCTGAAGACATCAACTGCTCTTAGACACAAAGCTAGATAAATCCTTTTAACAGTGCTTCAGATCCGTTAACAGGGCCACAAATAACAAATCACTGTTAGCAGATTTATGGGAAAGAAATAATAGAATCAGATGAGATAATCTGATAGGGGTAAAATTGCTGAGGAAATGAATCCTCCTTCACATCTATGGCTATGAAGCAGCCCTGCGATAACGAGAAGTCATTACAAATAGGTGAATTATGATGGGAATAATCGTCCTTGTAATTCAATATTTATTCATCCTTTTTTCTTTAAATAAGTTGCAGATGACCCCAAACAACCCTCTTTGAAAATGATTATATAACATGTGCACGTGCATACACACACACATCTTTTTCTCTATGTAATTTAGTATTTGTTTTACCTTATATTTTGGTTAATAGCTAAATATTTTGTATTCAGATTTATGCAATACATTAGGCCTGCAAACATATTATGATTAGCATAAATAGTCCCTTCATGAATTACTAACAAAGTTGATCTGAAAAATATTGGTGCATTATTTTATTAAGTGGAACGCAAACATATGTCCAATAAATTCTAGTCTGCTTCTGGCAGGAAGGGATAGACAGTGATCCAGGCAGTTTTATCTCACTGTGGGTAAGTGAGAAAAAAAATTAGATGAGTTAATCTGTATGAATTTAATTTGCCTTGTCAACCTTTCTGTTTGTATTTAATAAATAGAAATGTCCATATCAATTTCACAATCAGTACAAGAAGAGATAGCATTAAACTACCTCTAGCAATTTCTATGGACATAAATTTTGACTTCTTAATTTTGTTGGCTAATTCTGTTTCTTGTTTGGGTAAATTAGCAGCTTGGTTTGATTTTAGCAGATTGGAAACCAAGGTAAAATACCTATTATATCTTTTTTCCTGGAGCAGATGCCCTTCATTCTCTATGGTGTCAAGTGTGCTTAAATCCCATTGGAATTAATAAAAATCAAAATAAATAAAAAACCATGCCTAATTATATATTGAATCTCAGTGATTCAAATTGAAGCAGATTTGAAGAGTCTACGTGGTCTGGAAGTTCCTCATCTCATGTTTCTAAAGCTTTAGCAAATTAAACTGAATCGGAAAATTTGAATCTCTGAGTATATCTAGAGTAGATCTAGAAACAGACCACAGGAGTTTCAAGCATGGGTTACTTTTTTTTTGCCAACTGCTTGAAAACAACCTGTGTGTCACTAAACAAGGGTTTCCATAGGGCAGAGAGTAGAGATGGGAAGGGTGTTGAGGGAAGGAAATTCAAGCTGATCAATCACTATTTGTTTAGAGACTTCCTCCAATTATCCTATAATGTCTCCTTAGCATAGAACTACCGGTAAATCCTAAATGAAGTCAGTTTCAGATCAGTACATTCTCTGATTAGGGAATAGGGAAGGAATGAGGAAAGGAGGGCTGGATTTGAAGAAGGTTTCAGTCTAATAGAGTCTTTTTCATGATGGAAAAGGGCAGGGCCATTGTTCATTTCCCTTGCTTTTACAGTCTGCTATTACCCCGCACCAAAGGGTTCTTTCTATTGGAAGATTATGAAAGCAGGGCTAGTGAGTGCAGAGAATTTGAGTGATTGAAATAGATCATCTCCCCCTTTTTTCAGTGGAAATCTTCTGAGCAATACTGGGAAATGTTCTTGTTAGTAGAATTCAATCCATTGTCTTTCAAGTTGACAACAAAGATAAATGCAAATATTTTTTTAAAAAAAGATTAGTATAGAATCATAATCAGAGTAATATCCAGTATTTCTTTCACCATTTCTTGCATTTACTGAGTCTGAATCATTTTTCTGCCTATAAATCTCCAGCTGTTAGAAAACTGTTTTTATAATTTCCTTTACAGGCACAGAAAAGTCTACCTAACTCCCCACCCCCACCCCCACAAATTCTAGATACTGTATCATCATTTCCTTTCTCTCTCTCCCTCTCTGTCCATTACATCATTTCCAATTTTGTAAATAAATTTTCCCATAACCTCTTTCGTGAAGGTTTCCATGCCTGGGTTATAGATGATCACTAGATAGCAGCAAAGATATTTTTTTAAAATATATATATATAACTTTTTGCTTCTATGTAATATTATTTGGGGGTTTGATGCCTCATCTAAATGAAATCCCTTGTTAGTGAGGGAAGCTTATCCTGTTTCAGTTTTAGGATACATTTCACTCTCGGGTTTTGCTTTTACATTCTATGGAATATTTATTTATTGCTCACTAAATTTCATTTCAGTTGTTGAATAAATGGTGTTATTTTTATGGAATCTCTGCTCTCTATTTAAAATTAGAAAATGAATGTTTCTTGGATGTCTCTTTCCAAATAAAACATAAAGGATCATTAGTAAAAAGGTATCTGTAGAACACAATGTAATCAAATAGAGAATGATTGTTCTCAGTCATGCTTGAATTCCTGAATGCCTGCATTTATTTTTGAACTATGAAAGAACAAGATGATGGAGATCAATAAGAAAGCTATTTAGTCATTTGAACATAGGTTAGAAATTATAATTCTAAACATATTCTTGCTAATATCCCTGAATTATTGTTTGAGGATAAATTCAGCAATTGGCAGTAGTTCTATGCTCTGTGCAAGGAAAACTGCAAATCTGCAAATCAAAATGAAATGGGTAACAAATAGTCTCTGATTGCCAATTCTTATATAACATTTTCTTTGTATGAATTTTTTAAGATACATTTTTTTTTATTCCGTGAATTGCTCAGAGGCATGATGGAGTGTGTGGCTTATCAATAAAATAAAATAAAATCAATAAAATCAGGCACAACCACTGAGGAATCACTTCCTTATTGTAGTCATACTTGAATGTCTGAATGACTCCTCTGTGTAACTGCTACATTAAAGTATAGTGTTCATTACACACCAGTCTACAGAACCAACCCAGCACTAATTTCATATCAAAGCTAAGTTTGGGAACAAATTATGGACCCCAAGAAATATCTAAATTCACAACATGTAAACTGTTGATTACAGAAGAGCTTATCTTAAGTATCACAGATAAACAAATATGCTATGAACAATTAGAATTAGAACATTTCTCCTTATGTGAATGTAAGAATGGGAAATGGGAATTTTCCATGCAGGTGAGCAAAATGAAAAATGCCTTTAATCCTATCCTGTTTAACATAATTTTGTCCCTTTTTAAACAATGTTGTTCACTTTGGGAACATCTACCAGTATATTGACTAAATTTCATAATTTGTTTCTACATGCTAGAGCCTTGAAATTTCAGCAAGAAATTGAATGCATATCGACTCAAGGATTTATCAGCCAAAGATTCCATTTTAGCACCTTCCTATTAGGACTAAATATAGGAGACATAACATGAACAGGTAAGATATTTTTTAAAAAACAAGAAATAATATCAGCGCTGCATTGAAATTTGTTTTACAACTTCCCCCAGTTTTTCTTCTCCCAGAAACAGTTTTTGTTCCTGTTTCTACTTTCCATAATGCTTTGGAACATAACCAGCCTGCAGGGGTTGCTAAATTACAACTCCAAGAACCACAAATGTCTGGTAGAAGCCATGATGATGTCATGCACACCATGATGTCATTATACAAATGGCATGAATTAAGTAAGTTGCATCATGCATCAAAAGGTTGCAAATGATGTTGGGAATATAACCTGTGTTAGCCATGCTGGCTTGGTTTGCAGGCACATGTCCAGATCACCCCCCAAAACCAAGAAACACATATGGAGTTACTTCTAAACAGTTTCTTTCATATTGACCTCCCACCTTAGTGCAAGATAAGTCTGGACTGTTTACAATATTAAAAAGGTAAACATTTTACAAAACCTTTACCCAATTGGAACTTGCTCCTTGCCTGTAGACAAATATTTTACCAAAATAAAGCACCTACTTGCATCATTCAAGAGAATTTCTAAAGTGGAGCTGTCTTAACTCTTTTTCTTCCAACCAACTACTGTATCTAAGCTTCTTTGTTTCTTAATCTTCTGGAATGCAGACCCTCCTGGGCATCAAGACTACAATTCACTGTGGTGATATTTGGATAACCATAGTTTTTGATATTTGGACCACCAGAGTCAGTCAATTAGTCAGTCAGTCAGTCTTTCCTGCTTGTCTTTTCTTTCTGTCTGTCATCCATCCATCCATCCATCCATCCATCCATCCATCCATCCATCCATCCATCCATCCATCCAT